GCGGGTGGCGGTTTGTGGTTCAATCAATTCCTTGAGGTAGGGGGGGGCATTTCCGTGGATACACTGGTGTGTTAACAGGGTGATTTTGAATTCTGTCCGGGAGGTGATGGGAAGCCAGTGCAGTGATTTTAGAATGGGGGTGATGTGCTCGTATTTGCGCACTCTCGTCAGGATCCTAGCAGCGCTGTTCTGTACGTATTGGAGCTTTTGAAGGGTCTTGCTAGGGATCCCGACGAGAAGTGCATTACAGTAGTCCAACCTGGAGGAGACAAAGGCGTGGACCAACTTTTCGGCGTCAGGAAGAGTGAGGGTGGGGCGGAGTTTAGCTATATTTCTAAGGTGGAAGAAGGATGTTTTTCAGAGGTGTTTGATGTGGGTCTCATAGTTGAGGCAGGGGTCCATTTTGACGCCCAGGTTGGTGACAACTGATGAGAGGGGAATGTCCTGGTCGGAGAAGGTGATGCTTGTTATGGGGGATGATTTAACTTGGTGTGGGGTGCCGATGAGAATGGCCTCGGTTTTGGAGCTGTTGAGTTGTAGAAAGTTTTGTTTCATCCACGCCTTTATCTCCTCCAGGCAGATGGTGATTGTGGATGAAGGTGATGGTGACGGGGATGACAGTGGGACTGCAGAGCGGGGGGGACAGGGGGGGTCCATTTTTATGTAGAGCTGTGTGTCATCAGCATAGCAATGGAATGATAGTCCATGCCTGCTGATGACACGGCCGAGGGGGAGCATATACAGGGTGAATAGGGTGGGGCCAAGCACGGATCCTTGGGGTACACCACAAGTGACGGGTTGGGTGGGGGAATGAGCACCTCCCATGGAGACACACTCAGTCCTTCCGGTCAGGTAGGACCGGAACCAGTCCAGGGAGGTGTCACAGAGTCCGATGGTGGAGTGGAGACGATTGAGGAGGATGGTGTGATCAACAGTGTCAAAAGCTGCAGTGAGGTCCAGGAGGATGAGGAGGGAGGGGGAGCCATTGTCAGAAGCAGTGAGGATGTCGTTGGTGACCCTGACCAGTGCTGTTTCAGTACTGTGAGCGGAGCGGAAACCAGACTGGAATTTTTCGGAGATGTTGTTGTTGTTGAGGTGGTGTTGCAGTTGGGTGGCGACTATTTTTTCCAACACTTTGGAGAGGAATGGTAGGTTAGAGATGGGCCTGTAATTTGCGAGAACGTCCGGGTCTAAGGTAGGTTTTTTGAGGAGGGGAGTGATAATGGCCGTTTTTAGAGCTGATGGAACGTGACCGGACTGTAGAGAATGGTTTATTGCTTTGGTGATCAGGGGGCTTATCGCTTGGATGTGTAATTTGACCAGGGCTGTGGGAAAGGGGTCCAGGGTGCATGTGGAAGGCTTCATCCGGCGGATGGTGTCCTCAACCTCTTGCTGCGTGGTGGGAGAAAAGCAGCAGAGAGGCTGGGAGGCCCCAGACTGTGGGATGGCAGTTGGAGCAGATGGAGTGGGGGGGCCGGAGAGGGAGGAACGGATAGTGTCAATTTTGGTTTTGAAGAAGACCATGAAGTTGTTGCACTGTTCTGCAGTGATGGCTCTGTTTGAGGGGGGTTGAGGTTTTAGGAAGTGATTTATGGTTGAGAAAAGCTGTTTTGAGTTGCCGGGACTGTTATTGATGATGTTTGAGTAGAAGTTGGACTGAGCGTCTCTGAGGGACTTAGTGTAGGCCTTTCGGTGTTCCCTGTAGGCCATTTTATGAACCGTGAGCCCTGAGGTCTTGAGCCGCCGTTCCAGGTAGTATTATAGATGTCAGTATGATAAGAATCCATTGGGAGCTAGCAGGCTAACAGCCTACACACATCCCATACACTGTTATTAACAAAACGTTTTTCTAAGAGACGTCCATTCCGGCCCCTCTCTCAAACAGTCCTGTAGACGGCTGGTTCCCACATATATTATGGTGGTTTACTCAGTTGTTATACATAAGTAAAAGTAATAGTACCACAGTGTAGAAATACTCTGTAACAGGTAGACGTCCTGCATTCAAAATGTAACTTATAGTAACTAAAAAAACACAAAAATACACTTTAGTATATCTAGAAGCATTATCCAAAGTGGCCATTTTTGGAATATTATATATTATATCATGGATTTATAATTAGTGATGCATAAATGTTTGTATCATTGTAATTGTGTAGCTAGGATGAGATAACCTTAATAACTTGCTAAATAATTAGCTGATTCCATTTTTGTAATTATAAAATCAACCTGCAAATCAACTAGTAACATCCAATACATTTAGAGTGAAAAGTATTCACTGCCAAAATGTAGTTCAGTAGAAGTATAAAGTAGCATGAAATAGAAGTACTCAAGTAAAGTATATGTACCTACATTTTGTATGACCTAAGTACAGTTTTAAAGTAAATGTGTTTAGTTACTTTCCACTGCATGTGATGTCACACCAAAGTTACACTCTGGGAGTTTTGAATAATAATTAGAAAGCCATTTTCAGGAGAAAAAAAAGCTCATAAAAACATTGTGGAACAGATATTATGACATTATTTGAGGACTGGCTTGACAAGGATTAGGCTGAGCTATATTTACATCGGAACTAAACTTCGATTAACTTTAAGATGCCATACATCAACCTTTGCTTTACAGTTTGAATGCAGAAGAATCATTTATATTATGTTGCCGTTACCAATATCTGTATGCCATTTTTAGCAACTTTCCATTATATGTATATAAATAATAATTTGTATTTGTATAGCACCTTTCATACACACTTCACAGTAGACAGTTGACATTCCCTAACATAGTCACAGTAAATTGATATCAGAAAGAAGTTACTAGTAAAAGACATACAAATAAGCATAACATATAAAAAAAACATTAAAAGTTACGACAATAAAATGGTGCATTAAAAGGTGCATAGTGCACATTCACATAGACACTACAACTCCAAATAATGGCAGGTGACAGTTAATTATGCATAAGATTGCATTTAGAAGTGCAGCAGAGAGCAAGTGTTAGCTAGTAAAGTGTACAAATATGTTGAAGCTTTTTAAAAAAGACTTCCACAGAGCATGCCTCCCTGATGTCGAGGTATTGTGTTCCACAGCTTTGGGGCGTAATTGAAGAGGGCTGCATCACCAAACTTATTTTTGTTGCCAATTAAGTGGGACATAACTCTTTATGAGTTGGTAAAAGTGCTCCATAGCGATAGGCTGATCCTCTGTAACATGACACCAGTGAACGTCTCTCAGTGATGTGTTTCCTGTTTCTCAGAGAATATGAGATGGTGATGGAGTGAATGAGGCCATGTGGTGTTGGGGGGGTGTCAGGATGTTTCCTCACTCAGGAAGGTGACGGTTCAGGCTGCACGTGTTATATAACAGCTCGTACCGTTAGCCACCCAGGATTTACATAAGTAATATGTGTTCTTCTGCTGACAGCAGCCTCGGCGAGACTCACACGTATAATCAGGATTATTCTGAGAGCAAGGTGTTGCTCGGCGCCCGCTGACTTTCTTACTTTCTGGTGAGAAGAAGAGTCGTGTTTTCTAATCTGTTGGAAGGGCTTATGGCTTTTTTCCTGTGCAGTCATGTAATGGAAGCTGCACTGCAGAACCCAGCAGGAACACAATGGTTCTAATAATCCGCCACACTGACAATAGCATCTCTATTCCTTGGAATTGTATTAGTGTTAAGAAGAGTTCTATTTGGCCATGAATATTGGAGCCTGTAGTTATCACTGTAGTTTCTAAGATTGTGGATACATTTGTCAGTTTATTAAACCAAATTATGTAAATGAAGTATATGCTCAGGTGTCAGGTGTATGTACAAGATGTCACGAGAATTGATGTGGATTTGGCAGGAATTGCTAACAACTGTTACCTTTCTGGTATAAGGACACACCTAGTTTGAGGAGTAGTACCTGTACAACCCGGTCTCACGGCATTTCCTGTTATAGTCACGACATTTAATCTATTGATTTGTGTTCACCCAACACGATTTTCCCCTTTTTTCGTGTCACACAGAACGATTTTAAAACAATGTATTTCTATTGGTAGTATGTTTCGTGCCTGCAGCACGTCCGTTCGGGTCTTGGAAGACCGGAAGCTGTGGGGTTCATAAAAACATGTCCTTACTCAATATCAAGCCACTGAAAACTCATCTCTTTCGACTCCACTTCGATCGATAGAATTACTAACAAAGAATAGCTAACAAAGCACTTATATACTAATAAAGGGCTGGCTTATCTAAAGCCAGTTGAGTAGCACTTGAAATGTTTTAGCTCTATGAAACCTGATGTACTTATATGATTCTGTTTTCTTCAAGTTTGTATCTTGTTGGTCGAACGCACTTATTGTAAGTCGCTTTGGATAAAAGCATCAGCTAAATGCAATGTAATGTAAATATTAATGCTGCGCATTATGGACACAAGCGATTTTCACCCATTTATTAATTATATGTTTTACATTTGATAACACCAATGTGTTTAACACTGGCAAATTCTAATTGGGGGAAAAACGAAAACGTTCAGTAGAGACGACCCATAGAACATTTGCCAGCATGTGTAGTTCTGGGGNATATGAACCTGGCTTTATCCAATGTTCACACAAGAGTTCTACATCCTGACACATCCTTCATCTACACTGTCTCAACTGAAAGAGGACCAGAAACACATTACAAATATAATAAAATGTGGAGACTTTGGGATATTTATCTCCCATTCTTTTACTTTTCGGGCATTTTACAGACCAGACATGTCGTTGATGTCAATGTTTACCAAACTACCACTTTTTCTGAAAAATGCATAAAATCATGCAATATATTTTAAATACATGGTTTATACATGTGATTACTGGGGTTCCATCTCTTCTGATTACCTAATTTGGGCGTGCACATTTGCCACGCGCAAACCTACCTCTTTTGGATTTGGAAAGGTTGGCATGTATATAATCTGATACCCTGAATCGGTGTCCCAGGTTAAACCCTATGTTCCTATGTCGTCGTCCCCCGCCCCCCGCCCACACTGACCTGAGCACCAGGACACAGGCAGCCACTAATGTGTAGGCCAGCAGCGTCCCTATCGACATCAGGTCCACCAGGTCCTTCAGGTCGAACAAAAACGCCATGATAGCTTCAAAACGAAAGAAAATAAAAAGAGAGGGAAAGAAGGTGGAAAGATTAGATTAGTTTATATAAGAACTCCTAAGAAGACACAATTGATAACACTGCAATATGTTCTTTGATTGTCCATAAATATGTCTGGGGTTTAAATGTCTTGTGCTATTTTCATTTCATTTTAGCTACAGAAGCTAGCAAGCTACCATGCTGAATCCAGACAGTTAACATGGTTATATCTGCAGAACATTAGCATGTCAGCATTGGTGTTTAACTCCGCTGTGTAGAGCAACCTTACAACGATGTAGGTGTACAGCGTAAAGGTCACAAATGCAGATAATAGTGAGAACATTCCCCAGTAACCCATGACAAATAGATGTCCATCTTACCAGACATGACCCCGGCGGCCATAGTGGCGGTTACGGGGGATTTCCTCTTGCTGATACGGGCCAGGAAGGAGAAGAGCAGGCCATCCCGAGCCATGGCAAAGATGATGCGGGGTAGTGGGAACATGGAACCCAACAGACTGGGGAGGAAAAAATCTGATTGGGATGACAGTTGTAGGTGTAGAACAGAGGAACAAGGAGAAAGGAAACATTGCTAGGGGTCTGAAGAGGACAAGGGCGAAGAATTAGCACAAGGAAACATACGATTGGTGAGAAAAGAGTTGCAGATTAGGAGTGGAGAACGTGCATAGGGAGAGTAACATGAGCTTGATGTTGGTCAAAGGATATTCTAATATCAGCATGCAACATTTTTCCAGCTGATATAAAAATATTGTGATCCACATGTGGTCACTCTCCATTTGTTTCATTCATCTGTGGTTACTTCCGCAAGCAGTTTAGTTTGCAGTTTACATATCTTAACCACCAAATACAAGTAAGAAAAAAATCACTTTGAGGGTGAGACCTGTAGAAACTGACCCATTATTAAAAAAAAAATAAATAAATAACCAGGACGGCATCAACCAATTACAGAGAGACCTGACCATGACAGTTAGTGATGTTTTCTTTTCATGCTGGAGCTCTGTTTTTGGCAAGTTTGTTCAAAACACAGTTCAAATAAACTCTGCAATCAGAAGGCCAGAGTATTTTTAACCAAGCGGAGCTCAGCCATGTAGCATGAAAAAAAACTTAATTTAAACTTAATGCTGTTTTAAAACATGCGTGTTAGTGTCTCACCTGCCCCTACGCCAGAGGTGAGGGTTGCAGTTAACAGGGTTTTGGTGCAGGGGCTGATCTCGGCCATGAACTTGAAAAGCAGCCCATCGTCGGCCATAGCCCAGATCGCACAGCCCATAAGGAACATAGCACCAAGCGAGCTACCAGGGGGAAGACCAGGATATAAAGTATCCACACTTACACCAACCAGACGACCGTGAAACACACATGAATAGAGACACCAGCTCACAGACACCAGTAACAACATACAGTACATTTACGTAACATGATATACTGTAGATTAGATTATGCTTCAAATATACAATGAAAATAAAAGATGCATACAGGAAAATGATTAACATTAAAGCACACGTCTAAATAAACCTTAGAAATAGTATGTACACATTTAGAATCTTAAGATAAAAAAAGTAGCTACTGTATATTCCTGAGCACCACCATTAAAAAAACATTAAAAACTGATATTAAAAACGATCCTTGTGCTGGCCTTTGGTGACATGAGTAGCATAATCACATACTCAGTGTGCAATGTATATTCTTAGCAGTGTTCTTATTCTTAGTCATGGGATCACATTTCTTCTGAAGTTAAATATAAATTCACATAGTCTCACACACAGAGAGAACTAGATAACATGAGCATGCATGTAACGCTACCAGCAGGTGTGAGTTACTGCTTACCTAGTAGACAGAGCACAAAGAGAGCCTACAGCCACAGCGTATTTGGCTCCTCCCCAGCCCACATATTTAAAAGCCACAGGCAGAGGGCTTTTGCCGTCCAGCAGGTAGTACGGCATCATGAGAGTGAGGGCAGCAGAAACACCAAAGTAGGCCACAAAGCAGATGAGCAGGGAGGACACGATGCCGATAGGGATCGCTCTCTGGGGGTTCTTCACCTCTTCACCTGAGGGCATAGACGAACAAAAGGCACAGTTAAACAGGGAACAAGTAGTATAATACGTCTTTATTAATACTACTAATACTTCTTTCATAGTGCTAGGCATGGATTGATATTAAATGGCCAAATTAAAATAATAATATTATCCTGGTAATCATTACGTATGGTTACAACCCAACACATACTGTTGTGGCTTAATTATCTTGCGTAACAATACTATATTTTGTATTGCACCACAGATAGAACCCACTTTTAGAGAGCATCATTTCGGGTGAAAAGTAATCATTAACAATAAGGTCCCAATGTATAAATAAAGGAATAAATAAATAAATAAATAAGCAAGTCATACACCTGTATTTGTAAAAGCTTGTTCTATGTTACACATTTTATCAAAAATAGTAGGATAGACAGCTTTTCCAAGTCCCTTGTGTTAGGATATTCACAACTATGTCAATAAATAAAATTCACCACAATCTACTTATTTTTAGTGTTTTTTCCAAGACACAAATCTGCATGATCAACTGCTCAATAACATTGGGCGTTGCTACAAATGACTGTCAGCAACAGAGGATGCAGGAATACTAACTGCATACATTTGGGTGACTTTACAATTTTTCAAAAACGGTAACTTTTGACACTTTAATGAAAGGTTTGAGCAACTTTTATGGGGATATCAGCAGAAATGAGTTAATGTGGAAACTGAACAAGGAGCTTATTTTTCCGTGCACCCACAAGACTGAAACTATTCCACTGCAGGTGATTATGCAACAGACGAACACTCAAGTCTTGTTCTGCAGTGAAATCACACGCGATGATGGAGTGTGTGTAACACTGTCTGGATCTTCTCCTACAACAGTGACAAGTGACAGCTGCTGATCGGCCCAGATTATTGGAAGGTCCGGGGTCATAACAGTGGAAACAGTTGTATGGATGCACGCCTATGAGTGTGTGTGTGTGTGTGTGTGTGTGTGTGTGTGTGTGTGTGTGTGTGTGTGTGTGTGTGTGTGTGTGAAGGGGGAGGGGATGATGGCTACATGCCAACTTAACTCTGTGTAGCCAGTATTCACACACATACACACACATGATAAATTGGTTTAAGGATCCCTGTGAGTATGTGTGACAGACATGCCCCAACAAGACAAGTCAAGCCCCCATTCAGGGTTAATGTCACGTTAACCAATAAGAATCTAGGAACCAGAGGGGTGTGAAAAGCCGGGGGGCCAGAGAGCAGGCAAACTGGAAGAATCTCTCTCTTTTTCACTTTTTCAACTCAGGGGCCTTGAATTGATTTAACAGAACTAAACTACAAGCGTGAACACATATACCCATTCACAGGTGTAGATCTGCACAGTGTTGAACAAAATCATAGGGCACATCTTCTTCCATCCCAAAGCCCATATCATTATGTGCGCTCTAACTTGCGTCACAGTGCTTTTAAATCCACCGAGAGCAAAATTGGGCCAGAAGCACTAAACTGCATCTTTTCACTCTGCCCTGCCTCTCTTATGTAACACTCGAGGATGTTTAGACAAGCTTAAGATGGAAAGGGTCCCAACTCCATATTTAGTTACATCACCCCCCTTGAACTAAAGCAAGCCCGTGAGGCAGGATAAAGGAATACGAGAAGTGGAACAAGAAAATAAAAGTGCTGACTGAGTGAGTGTTTTCTGCTTTCAACCATCACTGACCTGTTGTAGCAATGCAGTCGAAACCCACAAAGGCATAGAAGCAAGTCGCAGCTCCGGACAGGACGCCTGCGAAACCAAACGGCATGAAGCCGCCTTTTCCCAAACTCTCTCTGGTTGGAAGAATTTCTGTCACACTGAAAAGAAAGGAAAGTCATGATTAAAAGCAGAAAACATAACCTGCATTTGAGGATAAATCAGGATATGTGGATATGACCATGTTATTACTTGAGATTGGAGTCACTGGTATAATTGCGGTTTAGGATCTCTTCAGGGTCCAGCTGCCAGTTCTTCATAGAACCTTTGACTAGGCCAGAGATCACCATGAACATTAAGACAAGGACGTTTATACAGGTGAAAACCTTGTTCACAATCGCGGACTCTTTGACCCCAAATGCCAGCAGACCTGAGAAATGAAGAAGACATGGAAAGGAAACACAAAAAGAGAACTTGATTGATGAAGAGAATGCACTTGTTGGACAAGTGTTGTACTTAAGTTTGGCAATAGAGTATCTGCAGTGAATATCTACCACTGAAGCAATGTTGCAAAGTAAAACATTCAAGATTGAAACACTGCGTTCAGGCAAAGATTAAATATTGTCAATGTGACATTAAAGTGAAAACACAAGACGAGGGGAGGGGAGGGGCAAAACAACCAACCTGTGAGGATGAATATGATGAGAACAGCAAACATGTCAGGGTACTCTGCTAATATACCCGGTGCATGCATGGGCATGTTCTCTCTGTAGAACTCCTCTATGCGCTTCCCAACCAACTCGTCGAAGGTAGCGCTCCATGCTCGAGCCACACTGGAAGTCCCTGACATAGAGAAACAATCTGTGATATCTGAGACTTTTTCAGGTGAACCAACAACAACAAGCTGTTTACCAATGATATAGGAGAGGATGAGGTTCCATCCAGTGATGAAGGCCCATAGTTCCCCTACAGTCACATAGGAGTAAAGATAAGCTGAACCAGTCTTGGGAACACGGGCTCCAAACTCAGCGTAGCACAGGCCGGCTAACACTGAAGCTAACGCTGCTATCAGGAAAGACAGCACAATCGCAGGACCTATGGGGGGAACAATAATGATTAGAACCTTTAAGATACATATGACATATTTGAGTTGTTTGCAGTAACGCACCTGAATTCTCTCTTGCTACAGCCCCGGCTAGCACGTAGACGCCAGCGCCTAGCGTGCTGCCAACCCCGAGGGCCACCAGGTCCAAAGTGTTGAGGCATCGGCACAGATGGGAGTCCTCAACGTTACAGTCCACCACCTTCACCCTCAGCAACTGCTTCCCGAAACCCAGGAGCTTCTCCAACGCCATGGATCTCAGTGCAGCCTCAGGGAGGGGAGGGGAGGGGGTGAAGGTCAACCAGGATACAGGGGTCACAGGGGGCAGAGGGAGAAGTCACACACACACCCTAGTGGGAGGCAGAGGAGGGAGACAAGATGAGGGAGAGTGATTTAAAGTACCTCTTAACGTTAGGTTGACCCGCGTTCTTTAAATAAGCGCATGACTTTATTTTCAGTCTTTCAATAAACTCAAGTCACACAGTGGTGAAGTGTTGCCCTTGAGGGGAATGTGCGTGTTGGGCTTGAGTTGACAAACTTGTAAGTAGAACACTCTTTTCCTGGGTTGTTACATAATGCAGCAGAAATCCACAATGTTTGAGTGCGAGCCAAAAACACAGAGGCCTATTGGGATAATCCATCTTATTGCTGGATGCGTTGCTGACATGTGTTACGTAACGCCACTCACAGGAGACCAGACAAAGCCCTCGAACAGATTGTTCTACACAAAGAGAATCAGGACTCACAGCACAGAAAACACTGTCTTGAAAAATGCCTTGGAGGATCGTCCCATTGCATCAATCCAACAAATCGCAGAAAAAAATAAACCTATCAAGACTCTCTGTATTTACCTCTGCTTCGGGTCATACAGTACATACAAGGACAGCTCTCTATTGAGCAGTCAACACAGTTTGAAGCTATGTCTAACCTATTGAGGGAAAAAAAACCTCCTTTTCTAAAAAAGTAAAGTCTATCCATCAAGTCATGCACATTCCGCAGCTCTGACCTCTGATACTGAGTGGTAATAATTGATATCATGGAGGGGAAAAAATATGGAGGGCAGGGGGAAGTAAGAGGGGAGGGGGTATAAACAATGTCCTCGTGCTATGCTAGTGAAGTTGTGGAGGTTTGGCAGGAGTCCAGTGGTATTTCCCAGAGAAGAGAGCTCAGGGAATTCAGTGGGTGACATGCAGCAGATTAACATAACCGCAGTTCGAGATAATGGCAGCCCTCCACGTGAGGACACAAATCCAGAAAGGTCATGTGATGTGGACAGTGCAACAGTTATGTCACACATCATGGAAACTTCCACATAAGGGTAAGCTAAGGTGACAACCTTGTTCCCTTTTCTTTCTTTGCAGAAAACATCAAGCCTCAGATACAACTTTCCAACCTGGCCTTAGATCACATATAGGAAATGTATATTTGTAGTTTTATTAAATGCCCAATACCAAATGAACTTTTGCAGGAGTGTATGTTTACTATGTTGGTTTTCCTAGAAACCCTATAAAACTGTCAAACACCTAAAACACAACACCTACCCAGCTTTTGTTTACAATACAGTATATAGCATAGTAGTATGCATGGCATGCTACTTTACCTATAACAGTTTACTAAAAAATATGAAATACAAAATAGTTTGAACTTGAATGTAGTCTTGATTGATTCACAAAATAAAATACAGCCCTCTACATAAAAACAGAACCACAGAGACCCCAAAGTAGTGCCACTGCTACTGAAACAATAGTTTTCTTGTTGCACCACATTTTACACCGTAATAAAATCCCAAAAACAATTTAAAAACGGAAGTTATTAAAAACAGCTTCTCCTATTTACAGCATAACATTGTAACATCAACAGTGTCAATGGATGATGTTTTTTTGCGATGGTGTGGAAAGAATTACACAAATATATATCAGAGTTGTTAGTGCATTTTTTTTCTGTTTGGTTACATACAGTATATGGTTTATGGTAAATAAGGAACCACTTTTCACGACTACAGGAGAAAATAAAATATCCCAATATTCTTTTATTTCAGAACTAAATCATGTTCTTGTGATGATATTTGAAGCCTGTCTATTGATGGTTTCACAAAATACTTACACAATGAGATTTTTGATAGATGATCATGAGTAATAACTAAGTAGGTAAAGGCAAACAATAGAATAGCTCGAACTTTGGTAAGTTCTGAAAACAACATATTTGTTTTGTAACGCAGCCTTTAAACCACACAAATAAAGAACTAAGGCCATAATACTGAAAGGAGGGCTCCTTTGCAACAATATTGTAAAACGGTTAAAAAAAAGCTTAAAATAAAAACACTATTCAATGACCAGGGTTATTATAAAGCACTTACAGGAACAAGCACACACATGCACACAATATGACTACTGCATACAACCCCATGTGTTTGAGGCAAAGTTAAAATGCCAATGCAGCAGATCAATGTCAAAATGACAATAACCTCTTCCTGCATGGCGGAAATCAGAAAATACATGCAGTACTCACTTAAAACCACCTACAGATACGCTTGACCTGTTGATCTGAGCGGAAAGTTTGAAAGAATGATGACAGATAGAAGGATTAAAAGATGCATTTGTTAACTAATCTTCAAGCGGCAGTAAAGACTGCAGAGCGTCTGACGGCAGTCGTTCTGAAATAGAAACTGGAGGAATCACATGGCTTGGCTATTCCAAGCAGCACATGCACGCACGAACAAAATTTAGTATGGAGAGCTGATCGTGAAAACCTTACTGAAAACGTTTTTACAGTAATGGTATTGGATTCCTTTAAAATCTTATACAACCAGAGTTGCAGCGATGTACATGGTCGCAGAAACACACATTTTAAAACGTTTTTTCTGTTACAGAAATACCACAGAGCAAGCGTTAACACTTCGCTACATCCAGACAAGCCTGTTCGTCCTAACATGCATCAATGTCACTCACACTCCTGCATCAAAGTACATACATGTATACATGCATGCTCTGCACTGTATTGAAATGTGCATATTAATACCATAGGAATAAATACCAAAGTTTAAAACTATAGGTATAAGTTATAATTGCCCAACAAAGTTCAGACTTAGAAAGCATCGTTCCTCTTTTTATACACATATACCTGATATGATGTCAGTTTAAAAGTGTGTTGGTAGAGAGAGTACAGCAGATTGTAAGTGCAGAAAGCAGAGGCAGTGCCGGCCAGTGGGGTGGGGAGGGGGGGGGGAGTGTACAGGGGTGTGATCCTCGAGAACCAATGAAAGTAAACCATGAACATGTCACTGTTTGACATTAAGAAAGGCAGGGACTCTTTTTTTATTACTTTACCTACAACATAACTATATTTCAGTCATTTTGTTAATTGCATCTGTTAAAAGCAGAAGAAATGCGGAAATATAGAACTTCAGCAAGTCACTGAAAAAGCATACCCTTCATCACCATTTTGTCCGCTGTGTTGGTGGATTGTTTTACTGTTTTGGGGTCATTCAGTTCAGCTATAAGCAGCTGCTCACATGCATGCACTCACAATAGGTGTCCAGCTAACTTAGGGAATTGCTTTCTGACTTGGGTTCACTGAGGAGAAAGAACGGCATGCAACCGTTGAGTGTTGAATGATGCTTGTTGACACTTCCAATGTATGTTTCCATCCCATGTATTGAAAAGGCACTCCTTCCTCCTAAATACTCAGCAAACATGCACAGATTTGACCTTTAGGTCTGCAGTGGCACATGTAAACAAAGTGATATGTTGCTGTTAGACTGACCCAGAGCTGTCCCTGGCCAACTTGGGTTAGGGTTTGGGAAACAAAGTACTTATATAATTCCTGTTTATTATTATTATTATCAACACAGTTACTTTTTTATACAGTGAGGTAAATGGTAAATGTGCATGTACTGTATGTCGTTCAGTATGCGTTTACAGGTGAATACGTCTGCATTTCCTGCCAAATACTAGCCTCAAAAAGATTCAAATATAATTAATGCAAATAAACTACTTCTACTAATAATCATAATCATAATCAATTCAATAATATAAATACTATATTATTTTATTATAATATAGTTGTAATATAGTGGGGTGCGCGGAGAACTGTGCACAAGCCGAGCTCATAGGCCGAGGCCCCCTGCGCGAGGCCCCCTGCGCGAGGCCCCCTGCGCAATGTGAGGCCCCATGCAGCCTGCTTGATCGGCCTGTAGGGAGGGACGGCCCTGGAGTGACCACATGACTTACTGGGTCACTTTGAACTTTTAGTGTGTTCAGATTTCAAAATGCCTGTCAGTGAGTGTGTCAGGATAAAGCAAAGTCATAGGCAATCAAGTCTTGACCCTAAAGAAAGAAGGATTTATTGTCCAACATCTAAAAACATGTGTTGAGGGACAAATGACAAAGTAATCTCCACTGTCTGAAAACACAACAATCCTACTCTCATCCACTTCTCTCAGACTGACCAGAAAGAAAATAATCAAATATGCTTTAGCTCCATTCAGCTTGTGTACAAAGATATTCTAACAATGATGCTAAAACAAACAAGGCCCTTTACTTAAGCAAACCACTCTGGACCTATAAGCGTATACAAAAAAACAACATTTAATTATATAACTGTTTAACACTCGATTTTCCTTGTTGATTCTTTGCTGATAATTTGGGCTGTCTAATGTTCAGAGGTAATTGAAAAATTGAGAATAATTAATGTGTCAAGGATTTAGCCTACAATGCATAAACATATCCCATTGTCGTTGCAGTAAACTAGCAATAGCAAAACCACAAATACAATTTTGTAATTTAACATTCCATATTTGTGTACATTTGTTTTGAGCTATTATGAATATAGTTGATAAGCACAAAGTGACAATAAGTTTGTCCAATAAAAAGTGTTGCACTTCAAGAATTTAAATCTGTTTCTATTCCAGCAACAAATCATTTCTTAAGCATGAATGTGTATTAAAGGGGACCTATCATGCAAAATGCACTTTTTGATGTCTTTTATACATAAATATGTGTCCCCGGTGTGTCAGGGAACTCACGCAGCGTCAGAAAATAAAACCCTCTCTCTTTTCCTCCGTACCCAAATCTCTCAAAAGGGGGGTACAATGGAGCTGATCCAGATTTGCGTCCGATATGACGTAATATCGGAAATGTGGACCCGTACGGCACTATCAGAAAGTTTCTATCAGAAACAATGCCCTGTTTTGGACGTAATATGGTCGGTGTTTACTTTAGCATCGCTAACATTCAGAGCTAACCTGTACTGGATAGCATGTGTGTGAAGAAGCAGGAAATAAAAAGAACTCACCTTGTGGTATAACCGGCAAGAGAGAAAGCCTTTGAGCTCCATACTGTTTCAGAAATAATCCTTGATAATCCATGATATGGCGTTTCATCACGGCAGTATTTAGTTTAGACAGTAGCTGCCGGGTCCCGCATGAGCTCAGCCCCCTCCTTTTATCAATTCTT